TTAAGTGGGCATTAATTTGTTTAAATGAAATTTGAACATATAAACGCGCATTAATTGGCAATTGGTGATTCTACCGGAGAAGAAGGCGGAACGTCAAAGGCCAAGCCGAAACGGAGCGATATAATAGGTAACGGACGAGGGCTTTATTTTGTTTATTTAAAAGAAATTAACACGTACAAACAGACATTAATTAGTTTGTATTAGAATTAATTGTGGCAGTAAATAAATGAATAAATATATGTTTTATAGAAAGTGATAAATATGAACGTTGTGGATTAATTTAAAATTTATAGATGAACGGTCAAGATTTGCTATGGGTGGATTCCCAAGCCACTTTTATATAGTAGTATAGATATAGATATTTTTGAACCCTTCCAATAATGATGGATATGATTTGCATAACTCGACATAAATGATATTGTATGTTTGTTTATGAAGAAATTTATGAAAGAACACCAGAATAAAAAATAAATAAATTTGTCTTGATGAGTTATTACATTCATTGCTATTGATTGCAATGACTTAACCGATTTTTTAGTATACATCAACATATTAGACTAACAGCCACTTATAACTTAGATTTGTTTTTACACTATTGCCATTATACTTCTTTATATACATTATACCTGTACATTTTACAATTGAATCAATACAATTCCATTTCTCTGTTTTCCTGCTTTGTCTCTTCCGTCTTCTCTTTCTTGAATCCTTTCACATGGTATCAGAGCTTGGCATGGGAGATCAGAACGCAGCCAACGCTGCACCTCCCTCCTCCTCCTCCTCCTCCACCACCACTATGCACACCGAAATCTCTGCCGACGCCATCACCATCCCTCAACCCCTCAAATTTCTTGTGTCCAATCTCAAGAATTTAGCCCCTCACTCCCTCACGGCAGAAAACTACCCCATATGGCGTATGCAAGTTCTTCAACAATTTGCAGCTAATGGTTATTCCGGCCACCTCACCGGCACGGTCAAGATTCCCGCAGACACCACCTCCGAGGCCTACACTCGCTGGAGAACCGCCGACAGCAACCTCCTTTCGGCCCTGTTTTCCACTATTTCGCAATCCATTCTACCCTACATCATCACCTCCACAACAGCAAATGAAGCGTGGACGATTCTTGAAAAGCGTCTTCAACCGACCAGTCGCTCTCGAGTTATGCAGCTCAAGAACGAATTATACCGGAGCACAATGAGAGATCAATCGTTACAGCAATATCTGAACCACATCAAATCCCTGGTCGATAACATCTCGGCGTCAGGCTCCAAGATCGAACCGGAAGACGTTATGCTTCACATACTAAACGGCCTCCCGCCGACCTTCAATTCGTTCAAGTCTACCATACGAAACTCACTGGTCCCGATCGACCTTGACACGTTCTACTCTCTTCTCTGTAATGAGGAGATTCACCTTCAACAAGAACACCAGCTGGAGGTAAATTCGGCCGTCTCCCCTACAGCCCTCTATTCTTCCACTAACAGTCAATCTCGGGGACGCCCCAACAAACGGTTCTTCAAGAACCGCAATAACTCGAACACGCCCAGCACACCCGTAATTCAATCTCAGGTGCCCTCTGCACCCAATTCATCCCGTCCGACGTGCCAAATTTGCGGCAAGATTGGACATGTAGCGCTCAACTGCTGGCACCGGTGCAACTTCAAATATGCTCCGACAGAAACGCGTCCACAACGAGCTCTTCTGGCCACTCCGTCGACTACCAACACTCAGGACTGGGTTCTTGACACCGGCGCGTCTACCCACCTCACTCCAGACGCAAACAATCTGTACTACTCCTCACCTTACAATGGCTCGGACTCGGTGTCCACTGCGAACGGTACGTCCATGACCATCCACAACTCCGGGCAAGGCCTTCTTCCCCTACCCGACACCTCTCGTAAGCTCTTCCTTCACAACCTTCTCCATGTACCGGCTCTTACACATAATCTTCTTTCGGTATCGAAACTAACTAGAGACAACTCTGTCTCAATTTCTTTCAATGCTAACGGCTTTATTGTTAAGGATCTCAAGGACAACCGCCCACTCCTTCATGGGTGTCTTCGTGATGGGCTATACCGACTTCACAAGCCACCGGACGAACCGCCAACTGCTCTTGCCGCCACCACACAGACGGATAACCTTTGGCACGCCCGACTTGGCCATCCGAGTTCCTCTGTTCTTTCCGCTCTTTCTAAACAATTTTCCGAAATTCAAAATGTATCAAATTCATTTTCCTGCATTTCTTGTAATTTGGCCAAGAGCCACAAACAGTTCTTTAATAAAAATGATTCTACATCGAGCTCCCCGTTTGAACTAATTCACACAGACATATGGGGTCCTGCACCAATACCGTCGACGGAAGGCCACCGTTACTATATTATCTTCATTGACGATCACACTCGTCACTCCTGGCTATATTTCATGCATACTAAGCAAGAGGCACTCGCTAAATTCAAACTGTTCTTCACCCTAATTAAAACTCAATTTCATCGCACTCTGCAGGCACTACGCTCCGACGGTGGTGGGGAATTTACGAGCACTGTCTTCCGAAACTTTCTACTAGAACACGGCATACGGCAACAACTATCCTGCCCCCATACACCGGAACAAAACGGAATTGCAGAAAGGAAGCATCGCCACCTCCTCGAACTCACCAGGGCTCTTCTTCACGCGTCTAACATTCCGCATAAATTTTGGGCAGATGCGTTATCCACAGCTCACTACCTGGTTAATCTTCTACCGTCCAAAGCAATCAAACTTCAAATTCCATCCCAACGTCTACAGGGTAAACCGCCGGTCTACTCTCACCTCCGCACCTTCGGATGTCTCTGCTTCCCGTGGCTCAAGCCATACGCATCAGACAAGTTATCGCCAAGATCTATTGAATGCGTCTTCCTCGGCTACTCCAACATTCATAAAGGATACAAGTGTCATGACTTCCGAACTGGTGAGAAAATTAAAGCTATTCTTGGGTCAAGGACTTAAAATGCCTCATGGATGTGGCTCTATAAAGAGAACTTCTTGTGAAAATTGGTCGTCCCTAATTTACTGTTGTCATACCCCTTATGTAAGAGATTCTTTTGAGAAAATTCAAGCTATTATTATTATTTTTATTTTTATTTTTATGACGAGGAACCGTCCGCTGCCACGCCCGGGCTTTGCCGAAAGCGCTTGGCGGTCCGTAAACCCCGACAGACCTATCGGGCCACCCACACCTACAGTACATGCAGCCGGTGCTTAGGGGCCCCATTTAAGGGCGACAGCTAGCCACTCGAGAGAATCAAACTCGGAATGGGGGGTTCTCAACCGAGCTAAGCCGCAGTGGATAATTCAAGCTATTATTAGAGAAGAGAATTCAAACATTCCTAAGAAAGTTATTATTTGAGATTCGAAACCCTAGATTCGTGGTAATGGGAAGCTATAAAGTTGATTTAGGCTTCTTTTGGGTGGCTTTCTTACTATTTTTTAAGTAGTTTTTTATACCAAAAATAATTTTTTTGTATTAGAAAACTGCTTTAAGAAATAGTAAGAAATTTACCTCAAATGAAGCCTTATTGCTTCTTAAAACTGAATTTTAGTACAACATTTTTTATTTTTTACTAAATTCTATTTTAAAAAACAATAAAAAAAAGCCATCCCAAACAAAGCCTTAGACTTCTTTTGATTTATCTTTTTCATTGTTTTCTAAACAGCTTTTTAGTATAAAATTTTTTAATTCAAGAAAAATTTTCATTAAAAAAATTGTTTTAGATATCATTAAGAAAGCTAATCTCAAATTAATGAAGCATTTGACACAATTATAATGGGAAAAAGCTATAAAGTTGGCATAGGCTTAGGCTTAAAAAAATTGACTCTAATTTGACTCAATTAACTTAAGTCAGCTAAAGTATCATAATATACTAATAGTTGAAAAAGTAGGGTCGGGTTCAGGTCATGTCCTTTCAAGTTTGATTAACTCATAAAAAAATAACATAGTTATTTAATTTATTTTTCATTAAAAAATCATATAAAATATAATTTTTTTTTTTTTTCTTAGTTATCATGTCCAAGTTCAGTTATTGCATTCATTTCAAGTAAGGTTAACACACAATTTAAATATTTTTTTTAGAAGTTGGAATTGGGATCTTAGAAAGATTCTATGTTCATGGTTTTAAAATTATTAAAAAAAAATAAAAAAAACTAAGTTATGGAAAAAGAATTGCGTTATAATTTGATCTTCTTCTTTTTTTTAATGACCTGCAACAGTATTAAGGCTTCGTTAGGAATAGCTTTTTTATTGCTTTCTAAAACGACTTTAATAAATTTATACTAAATAGCAAAAAGATGTCGCAAACAAAGCCTAAAATTACCAGCATATGCCAACAAATGAAGCCTATAACCAAAGCATCACAAGCTTCAACATTTTGTATTATCGAAAATAAAATCACAATATCAAAACAAATTATCAAGTTTAAAATTGTTTTGTAATTGCTTATAAATCAAAAAAGGTTCTATAAATAATGATTTCATTTTATTGGTGAAAATAAATGAACTGACCTACCAATCAGGTCCAAATCTGACCCAAAAAATTTTAAGTTCGAGTGCCCAGTCAAATAAATGGATCAACTTCTGGTCAAGCATTCCAACCCATTTATTAAAAGTGACGGATTCAGATTGACCCGCAAATCCTATTTTGACTCAAAATTGACCCTTTTAATTTTTTTCTAAATTTCTTTTATTTATCTATATAATCTTTTTATTTTTTATCAATTAACCTAAAATATATCCTTAACTAATTAATATTTTTTAAAATTAAAATGGTTTATCATAGCGGGTTGAGATTGCTAGCAGGTAAGCCTCGAGTTCAATTTTATTTTTATCCTTTCATTAAGTATGTTGGATTCTAGATGATCAAATTTGAGTCGAGTCAATCTCAAATCAGACCCAAACCCAACTCGTTTTCACACCCCTACATTACATTTAGCCAAACAACACAATCTACCAAACCTCATTATTTTCCAAAAATTGTTTCTTGCTACTACAAACAACAAAATGACCATTCCTTGAAACCAAATAATAAAACCCGAACAAAATTCTATAAAAAGCCAACCAACTAAACCCCCAAGAAAAAACTACTCCATCCCCAACTAAACAGACATATTGAAATAGTTCGTAGCCAAAAACCTTTGCCTCTTCTCTGATTGATCAATGAAAGCAGATTCCTCAGAGGAAGCAATCTTAGTCAGAACATTTCTGATGGATTCAATAAGAGAACTCAAACAAACATTTCCATTTCCATTTCCATCTTTCCTGCAAAGAGTAAAGACATTCTGTGTTCTTCCTCCCACTGATGTGAGCTCTGCTCTTACTGCTTTGAGTCTCAGTATCTGAAACGCCTTCATTAAATCAGAGAAGAGATGTGGCCGATCAGCACAGCAAAGAGTCGCCTTTATTTGTATATTTTGATCGGCAAAGGAGGAGGAGGAGAAAGGTGGTCTGTTTAAGCTTCCATTGTCGCATTCTACAATCACTTGATTCATTTCTGAAGGAATTGCAGAGATTTTGTTTATGTTGGCCGCTTTTCGGTTCAGATCTCTCACTTGTTCGATCACTCGGGCGAGTAGCGATGCTTTGTCCATCTGTAAGGGATGATAAGGAGCAGTTAGGGCTTTTGTTTGGTTGAAGCAATTGCCGGTAATGTAATTCTTAAATATTTTGGGATTTAAGGGGTTTCTGAGTTAATGTTATAAGAAAAGGATATGAAGATAGTTATATAAAAGAAAAAAGTTAAAGATTTAAAATTAATTTTTTTCCGAATTAATATGTCATAAAAATTAATTTGATGAAGCATGAATATTAATACAATTTCTGAATTTAAAAGCAGTAAAATTATAGTTGAAATTTTTATGAGAATATGTGAGGTGCCAAATGACCGAGAGATTATTACGTGCGGAGACCGGACGTGTCCGGAGGTCAATCCGAACGCGTTACGTCATCCTACGTAATAATTTTTCCTAAATGACCCATAATTTTAGCGTGCTTATAGCCGAAAAGAGCATTTGGATGAAAAAAATCAATAAGTAGAAAAAATTTCAGCTGAATGAGACCTCTTAAATTTTTCTTTTCTTTCAAGCTTTTTTCGCATAAAAGAAATTACATCTTCTGTGAACTATAACACACTCATCTTTGTATATGTTCAATTTACATCAATTTAACCCGTCACCGGCCAACAATGCGACCTTCTGGCCACCATCGTTGTTGGTTTGGGCCCTATAGCTTTGACCACCACCACTATCGACAGTTGTCAACCTCCGATAAACACCACCGCTAGGGGTGTCAATTTCGGGTCACGAGTTGAGTTCGGGTCGAACTTGGAATTGACCCGGTACTATTCGGTCAACCTGAACCCGACCCATTTTTGTAAACGGGTCAATTTTTCAGACACGAACTCGACCCGCTTTGGGTCTTGATCAATCCGACATGACCCGAATGACCCATGGTCAACCAAAAATTGTTAGTTTTCGAGTAAAAAATGGTCAATCTCCAATTTTCTGGTAAAAAAAAGGGTCAATCTTGAGTTTTCGGGTCAAAAATGGAATTTCGGGTCAAAATGGGTCAATTTCAAATTTCTGGTTTAACCCAAACCCGACCCGATTTTTGAAAGATATCGATTTGTTGAACTCAAACCCGACCAATTTTGGGATCTGGTGAACCCTAACCCAGAATTTTCGGGCTGGTACTTGTCAGGTTTTTGGTCGTGTCAGATATTGGATAAATTATTGTGTACGGAGTTCGAACGTAGAGAACGGTCCGGATGTTGCGTATTTACTGCTTATTTTACTGCGTATTTTTTATACACACTAAATGAGCGGCAAATAAGTAACAAATAAATAATACTCACTAAATACGCACTAAATACACAATAAGTACGCAAAAAATACGTAGAAAAAATTGTGTATTAAAAAAAATGTAGTAAAATAAGCAATAAATACGCAGCATTAATTCAGACCGTTTTCTACGTTCGGACTGCATACACAATAATTTCTCCAAATATTGACACCCCCAGCTGCCGCCACCCACCAATCGCCATTATCTTTAAACTTTACACTATATTCATTTTACTTCAAATCAAATAAAAAAAAATTATTCATGTGAACACATTCAAATAACTGTAAAATATTTATTTTATACTGTAATTTTTGTTTAGCCAATCAAATAACCCGACTAGACTATGATATAACTCACTAACCCATCAAATCATTGGCCAAGCTTCGCCATCAATAATGTGTACTGTATGTCACCACAGCCTTATCCAATCTTCCTTTACACGCAAATCCCACCTTCAACATTTTCCAGTGGAAATATTTTATGCAAACCATATCGTTTATATGGTTCAAAATCACTTGTTATGTTGACCCCTAAGCATAATTACAAAGCTAATAATTTAATATGTAGCTCCATAATTGGATGCTTATGTGATTTCTTATAAGTAGACAATCCTTCCACGTTTGTATCATATTTTTGAAGCTAATTCTATCCTACCCAAAATAAAATATATCTACTCATCTATTTCTCTTGCAGCTTATTCGGGACTATTAGTTGAAAGCTTTGATTTGATGAATCTTGTTCATTAAAGATAATCAAACTACTTTGTCTCTTTCTCCTGGCCTATACAGAATAAATAATCCTCAATTAAATGTGTCAATAATTAATCAGATTTGAAAACACGATTCAAATCTGATTCAAAAATTTCGAGTTAGGGTCAACCTATTTGAGAAACGAGTCAGGTTAGGTCAGGATTTCAACTTGTTTGTAAAATCTGGTCGGGTTCGAGTTGACCTAGAAACCAGCGCAGGTTGACACAGGAACCGCATGAGTGCTACGTATGTGTAACTGCAACAGACGACAGTGATGTCACATGAGTGAAGAGGCGCGTCTAACCCGATTGGATGATTCAAGTTGGCGACGCCGTCCACCTCTCTTGCTGTGGCGCAGCCCAGCGGCCTGCTGTCCTGCGGCCCAACTCTTCCACACTCACGAGTCCTGCGGCCTAGGGCCTGGGCTAGCTTGACGACGTTCCTTGATTCCTTCATGTCCAGTCGACGAGACACATCCTCCCATTCATGTGCTGGCTATCATGCAGCTTCAACAAGAAGAGTTGACGGAGTTCTTCCCGTTTTCGAGTAGGGTCAACTTGGATTTCCGGGTTGAATTTTATGACCAGTTTGTAAAATCAGGTCGGGTTCGAGTTGACCTGAATATCATCAAATCAATTTCAGGTTCGACCCGAATCTGACCTGCAATCCGATTTTAACATCCCTATCCCCACTAGAATTGTGGTGGAATTCTTGCTATCTCAATAAATTAAAAATATTTTGTGATGAAGTACGACATAAAAAAAATAATATATTATTTTGAATGATAAAAATATTATTTTACTATAGACTCAACAACAAAATTCATATTACGCCAAAGATTTTTTCTACTAAATATATTTGATGGAATATAGTTTATTTTATTTTGAAGTAAAGATTCTTTGCAGCGGCAAGTCTCTATGATCAATTACATTCCACGTACCAATTTACACTTGAAAAATTATCTGATTAAAGTAGTGGTTTGCATCTTTCTATCAAAATATTGACTAATATTTTATTTGATTTTAAGAAATTTGTATCAAAGATTTGATTTGAAATTTCAAAGAAAATTGGATCAATAATAAAGCTTACGTATATAATATTTGTGAATTTACAACTTAATTCGTTCAAAGTCTTTGACTATTTTGAAAACCTCATTGCTTAGGCTGGCAATTTGTCCTCAACTCCTAAGCAACAAAGGTTTCTTCCAGTTTTAACACATTGACTAAGATTTTATTTGGAACGGTTTTCTTACTGTTTCATAAAGTAAATTTTTTTTTTTTAATTTTTATATTAATAAGCTGCTTTAAGAAACACTAAGAAAATCGTCCCAAATGAAATCTAAATAGCCATTAAAGTCTAAGCAAGATGATTTACAAGTACTTTTATTTATTCAATATTATATTTCTCTATGAAGCCAATTTATTCTAAGCCTATGAGCTGAGGGTGTTGTTACCCTTAAAGCCCTATTCCACCTCTCTAATAAAGGATTATTTAATTTGAAATTAATCACTAATAAGGATGTTAAATCCTAAAAGTTAATTAGCATGTTAATTAATAAATTATTAGACAAGCATGTTAATAATTTGAATTTAATAACTAAAGATTCATTGTTCATAAATAAAGTTTAAAAGAGAATGATTATATTTTTTGTTAGTATCCTAATCCCGTCATAAGCTTCTCTAATTATCTTAATCACATCATAAGCATCTCTTCAAAGAATTTTCTAGTAATGAGTAAAGACATAAAAATGAGGACACCTTTCTTAATCTTATTTATATATATAAATTTTTTGGTTCTAATTATGAAAAGGTAAATAAAATTTAATATAACTTTAAGAAATTGTCTTAAACCAAAGAGGGAAAAAAGAGAGAGAGCAAAAAAACTACTAAAATGAATTGAACTAAGAAGAGTTACGTTTCGTTTGGGACGACTTTCTTATGATTTTTTAAAGTCGTTTTTTTATTTTTGTACTATAAAACTGCTTTAAAAAATCATAAAAAATCATCCCAAATGAAATCTTACACTGATATATATCTTTTCAATAGTATTTATCTCTGATTTAAGGAGAAGGCCACCCCTAACTTTCTCATAGTTTAAATAACACCTTATAGAAAAAATTTCATAATTAAGAAGGCATACAAACACAGCCCAAATCAAAACTAAAGCCTTGTTCTAAACTATCTCAACATATTCTTAGTCATTTTTTTAGCTTCTTAATCAATCCCACAATTTAAACGCTAAGTTCTTTGATCAGAAAAGATGATTAATACTTTGATTCATGTTAAGATGCAAGTATTTGAAAGAAAAAGAGAAAGAAGAGAGAGAGAGAGAAAAGAGAGAAGTGAGAGAAGAGAGAGGGAGAGACAAACCTTACTAGAATTGGGAGTCATGTGCCTGAGAGTAGCCAAATGAGTATTAATCCTCTCCCTCCTCTTCTTCTCAGCCAAGCTATGGATCCTCAGCGCCGCCGCCGTGCGAGCATCGGTGGAGAACGATGAAGAAGAAGATGATTGAAGGTCTCTGCCATGGCTAAGCAAAGCAGGAGCAGAGCTACTGGAAGCCATGGGAAGAAGCAGAGCACCGTTGTATGGAGAACTGGTATGATCAGCTCTGTTGCTTTCTGCTGAGAAATTTGAAGAGTTCTTCATTGCCACTCAATACTGCTCAGAAGCTTAAGAGAGAGAAATAGAGAGAGAGCTTGCTTTTAAATGTTATCTTCGGTCTCAATAGTCTAACTTCACTGTCAGAGTACTAACTGCTAAGAATGTTGTTTCTCATGCTCTGAAAATGAAGCCAGCGTCGGTGCCTTGCATGTGGAATTTTCAAAATCATTACGTGCGGTCATCAGATACAGTCTAGAGACCAATCAGGAGCGTCACATCACTAATTTACTATATATTATTACCAAACACTGCTGTGTTTCGGGTGATGTGGTGCGTCCTGATTAGCCTTCGGATTGTCCGGTGACCGTACCTAATAATTTCTTATGAAATAATGAATTTACCCTTAATATGGTAATAATCTTTGATTTCTGAATAATTATGAGCAGGCCATAGGTCAATTTATGTTATTTGAATGACACTTTCCAAATAAGAGTGTGTGATGGAAGTACAAATCTAATGAACTCTGAGGGCATTTTGTTTATGTTAGGGAGTACAAAAAGCTAGGATTAAAGTGTTTAATTGAAATAATTATTATATTACTATTATAGTTATTAACATAGGGCCCATGAAATGAAATGGTGCAAAAGGGAGAAGAACAAAATCTTGTAGTAATGATTTACTTTATACATGTGATAGTTTTATTCATGTTGCATTGTATAAAAAAATCATGAGTATGATTCAGCTGAAATAATTCAATATATAATTAATGTTATAGTAGTCTACACTTCCAAGGTGGAATTACAAACTTTGAACACAAACTTGCTTTCGTGTGAATGTGATAGAGAACATTAGGGATGCAATGAGTGGTGATGATGGTCATGTCGAGCGAAGATAGTCTAGCAATGGTAATTGGATGATAGTTGACGATTTATGATAGTAGAGCAACGATGGTCAGATGACAACGAATGTTTATGTGACAAGAGACAATCTACGACAATTGGGAGATCATTTTGTTGTAGAAAATGGAGAAGCTATAGCACTCAATCATTGATGGTCAACAACGATGGTTGAGCAATGATGGTTATTGGCGATGATTGTCGGCATTGATTGGATGACAGGGCTGTGGATTTTTTTAGATCTCTAAGCTATCTCTAAATTTAGATTTCTTTTATGGAAAGAATTTGGGTCTATTTATAAAATTTTTATAGTAATATTTTGATAATTTTAGCTAAAATCAAAACATCGGTTACAGTATCCTTAAAAGGCTCCACCAGCTCTCTATTGCTCATAAGAGCTACAAACCAAAAAGAAAATAAAATTCCTACGAGCTGGCGGATCCTTAAACTACGATTACAAAAAGAACCTAATATAATCGGGCTATGCAGCCATAGCACCCAAAAAAAGAGAGACCAATTAATCTTTGATAGCTTTCAGCTCCGCTCTCCTGCAAAAAAATCTACTATATAGCAAAATGAAAAATCATAGAATAAAATAACATACCTTTCTCAAAACTCTGCTCCGCTTGTAATAGTACTTTCTTTCAAAATTCACTTTTTTCTGGAAGCCATTCTCTTGAGAATCAATCCAAAAGGCTGTAGAGTTTTTTAGATCTCTAAGCTATCTCTAAATTTAGATTTTTTTATACAAAGAATTTGGGTCTATTTATAAAATTTTTATAGTAATATTTTGATAATTTTAGCTAAAATCTCAAAATAGTTCATTAGGATGCTTGTATTGATTTACTTAATTATAAATTTATATTTAAGCATACCTTAATAATCTCATAATCGATGGATCATAGGCTCATTGTTGTAGGACAAGAAGATCTTTAGAGTATCGTCCTCACCTTTAACTAAGGTTGAAAGAAGAATAATGACTCATCTGAATCAAGCATATGTCAAATAAAAAAAAATTCAAAAACCTTATTCATATGATTTTGCATTTTCGATGTGGTGGCTTAACTTCTAACAATGCCTTGCATATATGTTTTAAGCTAGAGTAGCCCTACATAAAATAGAAGAGGATAAATTGAACACTCAAACAATGAAACACGATGTTGAAGTACTTTAACAGCTATATAGAGTTGTATATTAAGTAACATAGGGTTTTAAATGATGGTAGATGTCAAGTGATAATGTGAATAAGGTCTTGGGAGCAAAAAAGTATAGTAATGTTGAGTGATGATATAGACATCGAATAATAGTTGACATAAAGAGATGATGAATAATTAATATATCAGGTTCAGTGTCGTATGGTAGCACACATTAAGTGATAATTGTTGTTGGACGTATTGGATGTGGATTGATAGTGGGTGAAGGTGTTTCAGTGTCAAGAGATGATAGATATTTTACGATGAGGGATGTCGAGCGATATAGCATTGAGGGAACAACATGCAAGCAGCGGACGGTGCATCAATAGCAATGATGGTTGAATACTTAAAAATTGTTTAATCAAATTTGTTTGAATACTTAAAGACAGCTCAGATGACCATTCCCCTTAAAAGGAAGGGGAATCAATGACCCAAAATTATTAATTATAAATCAATCAAAAATACCACAACAACAAGTACAAATGGAGCTACTCCACTCAGGCCAAATCAATAAAATTCAGTTCATTCAAGATTCAAATATTATGAAATTTATATGCTTATATTATCATTATAATTATTAGAATGAGATGATGCATAAAATGATTTTCTTTTAATCTCAATACTATTTTTTGAAAAAAAAAATTAATTGTAAGTGATTTACAATATAAAATTAGCAAAAATTTAGATAAATTTAATGAAATATCTTTATTATAATGTAAACAATAATATTATTTTCTTGGCTTTTTATGAGAGAATGTTTTCCCAAAAAAAATATTTTTTTCAAAAAAAAAAAAGAGAGAGAGATAACGAGTAGGATCTTCTTTTATTTTGGAGGCTGTGTGATATGACAGAGCGTGAAGAAAACGGGCGTGAATGATTTGATTGGATAGGTAATCATCAGCACACTCTCCCACCACAGCTCTCTTTGTTTTTTTTAATATTATTTTGACGATGTGAACAGAGACTTAAGAGAGAGAGAGATTTATACTTGAAAATTCAACTACTTGATAAAAATTCTGTTTCCAAGATTCTAAGAATAGAAAGCAAATTATATTTTTAAGGCCTATATGCAGGGGTTTTGAAAATCAAACTGTTTGTAGAAGAAAAGATTGCAAATAGAGTAAAATAAATATAATATAAATTATTTTCTTATTTTTTAATTATATTAAATTAGGCTAATTTTGAGCAAGAGTCATTTCATCATAAGCAAACTCGTTTGGCCGCCGCCCTCCATCGTCCCCCCCCGGCGGTCGGCCACTACAGTCGTAGGCCACTACTGTCATCTGCTGCTACTCACAATCTTTTTTCATTTTTAGACTTTATATTACACCAACTGAGCTCTTGGTGATTAAAACTAATAATAATAAGGGAGCCCTTAGTGTTGCAAGCTGAGACTATTCAAAATCAATCTTTTTTTTTCTGTCTGACTTAAAATACTATTAGCCAAAAACGTTGAAGTTCATTTAACGAGGCGAGGCTTGCATTTCATTGGATATCAGTTGAAACTTCAAAGTTATCTGATAAATATTACATCGTTTCAGACTGACAATAGCACATTTTAGTTTCCACAGCATGATGTCATTCATGTCCACAATCTTGCTCATTTTCCAACTCTGCTGGTGCTATTGTTTTTGTTTTGAGTAGATGAGGGCAAAAAGTCATTTTGATCGGTTGGTTTGGAGCTTTATATTAAACTAAGATGTCTTAGAGTTCAGTCTTATATATGGGATATGTGTGTGCGTTTATCTTAATTTATCTAAATATCTGATAAAAAGTAGATAAAGGCAAATTCAGTTTCGTTGCTTATATAGTTCATCTTGGTTTGTTGGTCAGGAACTTTGACTATCAACCAATTAAGGTTTTGTTTGGGATGACTTTTTTACTGTTTCTTAAAACGGCTTCTTAGTACAAAATTTTAAATTTTTATACTATGAAGTTACTTTAAGAAGCAGTAAAAAAGTAATCTCAAATGAAGCCTAAGAGGTATTAGATTCGAGTCTTACGTATATGATGTGTGTATGAATTTATCTTAATAAGCCCTAAATGTCCCCTCAAAATGTAATTTCATTACTTTAAAATAGTTAAAAATGGCAAGAAAGAGAATACAAGTCAAAAAATCTAAGAGAATTTCATGAGCTTCAAGTAAAAAATAAACTTTTTTTAAGGCAAAACAAGTGATGGAGACAAACAAACACTGCAGAAATTAAAGAGAAAGCACCCAAATATAATGATGATAAGCAAAAATTCTAGACTTAGGTTTTATTTGGGCAACTTTCATACTATTTTTTAAAGTAGTTTTTAATAAATTTTGTATTAAAATTTTATTTTTAAAAAATAGAAAGAAAACTATCCTAACGAAAACTTAGTAAACAAAAAAATCTTAAAAAATATCAGATAGTGATTTCTATATCAATGTTTCTAAAACACAAATATGTTAAATTTTATATAAGTTATTATTGGATAAAGAATCAAAATCATGGCTTAACTTCTTTTGAAAAATCAAAATATTCCTCCTTTTAAAAGACTTGATGGATCAAAATAGTCCCGTAATATAATTGACGATCATTTGAATCTTTTGTAAAGAGTCAATGAACTATTTTGATATTTTTCACAGTTACTTATATATATATATATAACATTAAAAATTATTATTTATTTTTTTAAAATAAAAAAGTTGAGCTGAGTGACATCTTTGTTCAATCTCTTACTTTATTAGATTAAGTTATAATCAAATTATGTGATCATATTGAAAGTTCAGTCCAATTAAGCGATACTTTGTGATTTTTTATATAATCCTCCAAAAAAAATTCTTGCTTATCTCAAAGGTTTTTCATATCTCTCTCTTTCTCTCACTTTCTCTCACATTGATGAATCAGATCAGAGCCCTCTCGAGAAAGGTCTATCTCTATTACTCTAATAGGATTCAACAAATTTTCACAAAGGGAATTAGATGCAAAAACCTCTCATTATATTAGAATTTGAGTTGGAGCTTAGTAATA